GAAAACGGAAAAAAGATTGCGCAGTGTTCACCATACCTCCCTCTCCCAAACATTATTGGGATTTTAATTGGGATTATATTGAATCTTTAGATCAGTTTAGTGAGGATTGCCATCTGAGCAATATTGAGTGTTTCAAACCATAAACATGGTATATTGCTTCAGTTATTATCATCTTTTAAAATTTTTCTAAGTAATGGTTTGTAGTTTTTCCTGCATGGAGCTCCTGCACATCTTTCATTAGAATAATATCTAGGCCCCCAAGGGGGTGGGATAGAAAGGAGTTAGAAATGGTATTTTTCATTCTGAGTTTTATAGTATTATTTAAAATATCAAACTATGTACATGTATTAATTAGATAATAAAAAATACATATTTTTTTCTAAATAAGGATAGTAAAGTAAAGATAGGGACAAGGCAAAAGGAAATAATTTGAGTATTTTTTTTTCTTTCTTTGAACATTGTATCTTAGGTTTAGGCTACATCTTGAAATCAAAGACGACTGAGTCGCAATGAGATATATACAAACCATTTCTAGGCATAGCTAGCAATTGATAATAAAGTCAAAGAATACTTCATGAATAAGTATATGACAAAATGAACTCAATTTTCTTTAAAAAGAGGGGTAGTGTTCAAGCATATGTATTTTACATATATGTGTGTGTGTACACATATAGAAAGATAATATATCCTGCCTATAGCACATACTTAAGTTAAGAAGTCTTGTTGCTTTGGAGATTATTCACTTGTCAACCTTCCTTTTTCAGTATCCAAGGAAATTTCAGCCACACAATATCCAATTGCATTTAGAATAAAAAGATGTAAAAGCTATCTATAGCAAAAAATTTCTTTTAAGTTTTTAGAAAAGTTGTAAAAACTATAGGCAAAAAATAAGGAAAAATATTCAATTAGAACTCTAAGTTTCAAATATTTGTAACTCAACACAAAATCCGTAAAAACAGTTTAAACTATAAACTTTAATAATATAGACACCAATTATACTTTTTATTTAAAATTTTATTTATGATCATCTTAATTAAAATAAATTTAATTGTAAAAACAATTATCATAGAATAATACAGTATCAGATGCTTTAAGAACATGGGACCAGCTATACAAATACAGTAATTATAGTACTCAAATCTTACTACATATACATTTAATATACTAGATGTATGCAACAATAAAATAACTCCCTACCTTGCTTGAAAAGTTTACAGAAGCAGTTTTCATTTTATCAAATACAGAGCTCATATGAACCTACAATAAAATTTAGTAGTCTGTTCACGTGTCAAGGAACAAGGCTAGACAATAAATTAATCCTTTAAAGATATCTGTGGACCAGTACAATTTTCTTTTTCAGTATAGTAGGCCAGAGACTATTGAAGAATATTTAAAGGCTGAATAGAACTTAGTAGCAACAAAGTTAAATAAGGAGTCTGGGAAGAAAACAAATAGTTCAATAGTAACAACACATTATATTTGCCAGCACAAATAAATCAGTGTAAACATCTTTAAAACATGAATAGTGAATTTAGTAAAATGTTATACTGTATCTAATTATATCAGATATCTGAGGAGAGTGCTTTCTGGAAAGTTTTTTTTTCTGTGGTGCACAAGGACTTTAAAGAAAATCCAAACACACATTTTAAGAAAGTGCTTGGAAAATGTATTCATTGAAGAAATGTCCACAATAAGCAATGCTATTTGAGACAGGCCCTTGCTCTGTTGCCCAGGTGAAAGTGCAGTAGTATCATCATAGCTCACTGCATCTCAAACTCCTGGGCTTAAGCGATCCTCCTGCCTCGGTCTCCCGAGTAGCTGGGACTACACCACACCCAGCTAGTTACTGTATTTTGTGTAGAGACAGAGTCTTCCCACGTTGCTCAGACTGACCTCCTGACCTCAAGCAATCCTCCCCAACCTGGGCCTCCCAAAGGGCTGGGATTATAGGCGTGAGCCACCATGCTCAGCCAAGCAATGCTATCTTGCAGTATGGTAATGTGAAATGGGATGATAATATGAAATATAAAAACAACTAGCTAATTTTTACTTCAAAATCTGAAGCAAAAATACAGAATGGTGAGCTCATCACTTTACATATCTATTATAACTATGAATCAGTGCCTTCAAAATATTCATTCTTACCATTTGTTTTGGATTGCCTACTATTTGACAGGTACTATACCAGGTGCTATATGGACACTGATGAATAAAACAAATAAGGTTCTCTGCAAAAAGACAAACCTTGGTCTATGAAGTATTCATTATATCTTTACAAATTTAAATAAACATGGCTTTTGAAAAGAGAAAATTTTTCCAAAAAAGTAACTTTCTGAGTGTCTATGTATGTGTGTGTGTGTATATATATATATATATACATATATATATATAGATATATAGTCACTCAAAATTCCAAAGGACCATAGGTACTTAGAAATGCCAAATTACTATTTCAGTTGATATTACAGTTATCTCATGAACTGTACTTCTTGTGCACTTTTCCTAAAGTACAGTCTTACATGCAAAATGTTTAAAGCAATGAAACAAACATACATCTGTTCTTGCAAACACAGTCTTAGTAAAATATGGACCAAGTTCCAATTTTTTAATCCAGACAAAGACAATTTAAACCAAGCATATCATATATCTGAAACAGATATCCATCAGTGAGTCAGCAAATCTGGGGAAAAGCAACTATGACTGAACATAAGGCTGCTGTAATTAATCTTCATCATCTCGTTGCAAAGGTATGACCTGAATTTCCTTGGCTATCCTTTCTGCTACTGCTCTACTATTTGCAGCAATTACTCTTCGTGACATCAAATCAAATGGTCCACCTAAAAACAAATCAAGTGTGGAAAATAATTATTATCTGGCACAAAAATGATTCATACAAAACAAGTATTACCAATATGTACTATGGTCAATTATAACATTTTAATACTTTCAGTTTTCTTTAAAAAAAAAAAAACTATTCTATTACATACCTACAATGTTTAAGCTTTGGCAGTAAATAACCAAGTTTCTAAGCACACTTTTACAGTAAATACTAATTGGCAAGTTAAGGGGGAATCTCAAGACATACCAGTCAGAAAACATCATCTTTTCTTTTTCTATTTCTTCTGTTGTGCACTCTTATTACCTCTTTATTGTTTGAGAATCTATGAACAGAAAATCTGACTTCAAGGCATTTTCATACCACTGTCGTCATTTCCTTATTTCTTTGTTGCCTTTCTCTGAGACCACTGGTGAATTCTGTGAGCACAGGTTCACCCTTTAACAATTTTACCATCAGCTCAAAGTAAATATTTAACCTTTCTAGGTCTAAGGCAGGAGGTGATGGTAGAAGTCACCCATCATTGACTATCAGGTACAAGATTTCTGGGTGCAAGCCTCAGACTCACTCTGTCTAGACCTTTCTGCAGTCTCTCAGGAATTCCTGTTACTCACATTTGAAAAGCCTTCACCATTTATCATTATCTGTCCCCGACATTACCATCAGCTCTTACTGTTGCCTCCATCTCCTAATGTTTGTTTTGAGTTTGCACAAAATGAAATAGCTTCTTTTTGCCTTAAAAGCTGAGGTATAACATACACAAAACATTTTTTGAAAATCCCAGTCCAAGAGATATGGAGAGAAAAATGCTTCACTGTCCCATAATTTTACCTGTAACATCCATTAGCACTCCACCAGCTTCCGTAACAATAATGCCAGCTCCTGCAACATCCCAGCAGTGAATTCCCATTTCATAATACGCATCTGCTCCTCCAGTTGCCACAAGGCACATATTAACTGCTGCTGTTCCAACAGTCCGGATCCTAACAAATAGCATTTAAAATAAGATTGGAAAATAACAATCCTTTAAAATAAGGATTTTCTCTTTACTCCCCAAAGAATTAACTTCAGTTTGAGTATTGACTGAGATAACTTGGCCTAATCTAGAGGATAAATGTAAAAAAAGGTGGTATCTGATTTTAAAATGAAGGTACACAAAATCTAATTATCATGATATACTATATAAATCACAAAACTAACCCTTACAAAGCAATAAGGAGATAAAAATCAAAACAATGATTTTCAGAAAAAAAACTGAAGAAAATGCTGTAATTCTATAACAGCATACAAGTATATTCCTATTTGTCTAATCACAGGCACTACAGCTTATTTTATTCGCATATACACATACACACACACATTGCAATGCAAATAGTCTCTATGAGATGTAAAATATGCTGATATTTTCATTCCCAAGTGGGTTTGTATCATACATGTGCCTGAAGCAGTAACAGCAGGGCTGTGCTCTTCACAAACTTAGGCATGCCTTGGAAGATCATCACTTCAGGTTTGCCCTCTCATAGCATCTCTTCCTTGCTATGAGACCAAGTCAACACCAAGTTAAGAAAAATATGGATACTACTGAATAGCAATTATAGTAATAACTGATTCAGGAAAAAAATCATCAATAAATGCTAAAATTAGTGAGTGAAAGTTTGATATTTACATAGTGTCAAAGTCTCTCCACAAAATACGGAATAAGTACAATGGGAAAAATGCCATCTTTATAATTTCTACCCTTACCAAGTAGTCAAAGTTAATATTATCCAAAATGAGACAAAAAGATATCATGTGCCTCCTAATACGATAATGAGAAGGACAGAACATTACTTCTACGGCATTCCTGCCAAATGCATAATCCAAACATAATCATGAAAAAACACACAAACTTAAATCAAGAGATGTACTACAAAATAACTATCCCATATTTTTCAAAATGTCAAGGTCATAAAATACAAAGACTAAACTCTAGAATAAAGGAAGCTTATGAGAAATGACAACTAAATGTAGTGCATGATCCTGTATTATATCTTGGATCAAAATTTGAATAAAATCTCTATATTAGGTTATATATATCGATGTTAATTTCCTGACTTTTATAACTGTACTGTGGTTATAATGGAGAATGTCCCTTTTATTAAAAAAAAATACACACTGAAGTGTGTATTTAGAAGCAAGGGTCACTATGTCTGCAAGTTACTTTCAAATGGTTTTTATACAAACTCCACTATAATTGTTTAAAACTCTGGAAATAAGGCAGTGATCTCTGTTCACTGAGACGCTTCCACAGTTTATTTATTTTTTTAATAATGGAAAATTGATGACTAATGTAGTATTTGCTTAGTATCTAAAAATAAAAATGAAAAAATATTGCTACTAAGTACATCTATGCCAAACCAATTTTTTAAAAAAGGATTAAAATGGCATGATGTTTTTCATTTGGAATGTTTTCCTATTTATGTTTCTGCTGTACATCAAATTTAAGAAAGAACTATTAAGTACAACAAATTTCCAATAGATGTCTGTTTCTCAAATAAAATCAAATTAATTTTACTAGATTTTTTAGTTTAAAAGAAAGGTGTATTATCCCCTTTTTTCACATGAGATTTGTGATTGTTCATCTCTCACATTATAAAAAGCAAATAACAAGATCTTTCACAAATAATCCCTTGGTATTTTGTTTAGACAGACTCCTAGGCTACCAGAACAACAGTGATCCCTACTAACGGTGCTTCTGATTACTTCTAATGAACATCACGGGCTCTCAGGAAAGGGGTCTTGTAGTCAGCAAAAGTGTATTCTTTTATGAACAAATATTACCAAAGGCTTACTAAAAAGATTACTTAATTACTAGGTAATAAAGGCTATGCTCTAGAATCTGACTATGTATTCTGAATCCTTTCTTAGTCTGATCCTCCTACATAGCTACTATGGTGTATAGTAAAAAGGACTACCTTTGATGTCACAGAGATTTGCGTTTGCTTCCACAGTCAGCTGCTTAACCACTTCGGTACGAGAGTCGACTATAGTCGATAGCCACAGATGAACCGAGCGTTGACTTTAGCCGATATGACTTTTCTAATTTTTCATTTATCAAAATAAAATTGTGAACATTTAAAAATAGCATAATGAAAACATATATGTATATGTTACCTATTCTGATTTACATTATAAGTAAAGCTGCCAGTAAAGTAAAACAAGCTTTCAGTGCTTTAAAGCTTTCCTCATCACACAAGAGCAAAAGGGATTCAATGCACAGCACACACTATCATGCGGACGATGAGTGCTGGCTGTGGGCAAGGTTTTACGGCCGGTGAGCGCCGTACTGAAGTGAAACCATAAGCTTGAAAGTTTCTTCTTTCAGTTTTAGCTTTCTTATCATCAAATGGGGATACCAACTTACCTTAGCTCACTGTTATAATGACTACAAATAATACGTGTAAAGCACCTAGCAGAGTGCCTGTCATATAAAAGATCCTTAATACAAAGTAGCTATGTTTATCAAGAAATTATCCTCTAAACCAGGTGTCCTCAAACTACGGCCTATGGGCCACATGTAGGTGTTTCTGCAAGTTTGTTTTTTTACTTCAAAATAAGATATGTGCAGTGTGCATAAGAATTTGTTCATAGTTTTTTTTAAAACTATAGTCCAGCCCTCCAACAGTCTGAGGGACAGTGAACTGGCCCCCTGTTCAAAAAGTTTGAAGACCCCTGCTCTAAACCATGCCAGAAAATATCATATAACATAGAACATTTCATCTAAATAAATTCCCAAAAACTATACAAAGGAAAAGGACCCACAATAATTTACTTTGTCTCATAAATGTTATTTCCTAGTTAGGAACCTACTGGACAGCCTCCATTGTTTAAGACATTTATTAAAATTATGACTCTCTTTAGTTTCATTTTGTTTTATATATGTAGTTTTGAAGTCACATTGAAAAACTGAAGAATCAGCTGAATGAAAAAGATCAAAGAAATCAATAAGTCAGTGCTTCTCCTTGGTAATATTTTCCTAGATCTATTTCTTTAAAAAATCTGAAGTAAAAATTACATTCTGTTTTAGCCAATAGCAAAATTAAAGGTTAAAGTACTAAACCACTTGCAGTCTTTTATGGCTAACACAACTCTTTTACTGCCCATGGCTAAAGTCCTTGCCTCAAAACAGCACACTGTATCAGGAAGTTGATTGCTCTTCCCAAAAAAACATCATTCTGGGAGTTTCTACAACTACTTGACAGCAACTCTCTCTTTTACTTTACTCATTACTGTATAGACCACAGGTTCATAGCCCATAATCAGTTTGTACAAAGGTAAAACTATACTCTGAAGGTCCTGACTCCTAAAAGAGAAGTCTAATATCGGAGAAAGAAAAATGATCTGGAAGCTGGGGTTCTAGTCGTATCTCCATCTAGTTGTGTGATCTCAGGCAGCCATTTCACTTCTCTGAACCTCAGTTAACTCATCAACAAATTAAGACTGGCTTAATCTTTGATAAGTTCTAAGAGTTTTATAACTCAGTGATGATATTTCCAAAGAAAAGGTAGGAACAGTTGGCAGTAAAATAACAAATATCTGTTGTAAGTCAAGAACAAAATCTGTTGAGTAATAGATTTATATTACAGTTTTTCATGCAAAATAACTACACTAAAGGTCAGAGAAATGCTACTTACTATAGCATTAACTATATGAAAGTTAAGGACCTCAGACCTCTAGCTTTTCTTAAAAAGATATATATAAGGATAAGTATTTATTTTTAATTTCTTCACTTTTAAAACTGTCATTACAGTAGGATTCTGAGGTTTGGAGCATAATAGTGGCATGTTGATTTTGAAACTCTCTATGACTCTCCTGAAAAAAAAAAATCAACAAGGAGGACCAATAAAACAAACAGGACCCTTTCCTTCAGCATTTCTAGGAAACAGAAAACATGAACTCTCAAACTCCCTGTAAGTAGAAGGAAAGGCAAACAAACAACTGAATTTGAACAGAGCACTGCAACCTGTGGATGCAAAAGGTGAGGGTGAGGAGGCAGAAACGACTTTGTGACAAAAAGCAGAGAGGACCAGAGAGGACTCACAGGGAACACAGACAGAACCACCCTCAGAAAGAGCAAGCGACACAATAAATACAAAACTATTGAACATAGATCAGGTGGCCCATTACTCAAGATAACCACGAGACATGCTAACCTGCACATGGCCAGCCCCTTCCCAGCACCCCCCTTCCCTTTTATAAACCACTGGGTCACCCTGACAGCCTTGAGATGGCCTTTGTGACATGAGGCTGCCACCTCCTTAGGATGCTAGCTCTTGAACAAACCTGCTTTTCCTTTCACCAACCCTTTGTCTCTCAACCCTTTGTCTGGCTTTTGAGTGGTAAACAATTAAGCCTGAGTTCAGTTACAAAACTAGGGACAGTTTAGAATTCCTTAGAGATTGGTTAAAGGGTCATGATCAGAATCCTAAATAGAAATATGGATAATAATGGCTATTCGGATAAGGTCTCAGATGAAACTGAGGAACAAAATATTGGAACATAAAGTAAAGGCAATCTATGTTATAAATTGACAAAGAAATTGGCAGAACTGCGTCTATGCCTGAAGGCTTCTGGGAAGGCTAAAAACTTTACAATGATGAACAAGGGTATTTGGCAGAAGAAATTTGTAAGCAAAATTTAGAAGGAGCTACATGGTTACTTTTGGCTACATACACTGAGATTTGAAAGCAAAGAAGAAACTTAAAGACAGAATTTCTCATTAAAAGGGAAGCAGAGAAGGATTTGGAAAACTTTCAGCCTGGCCAAGTAAAGAGTAAAAATGTGTGTTTAGGAGAGGAAAACAGGGGTGTAGCCTGGTAAGGATTTAAAGAGATTAACAAAGATAGAAGGGAGCCAGGTGCTATTTCTCAAGACAATGGAAGAAAGATTTCAAAGCATTTCAGAGATCTTCAAGGCTGCCAATAGAATTATAGGCTCACAGGCCTAGGAGGGTAGAATGGTTTCAGGGGACTGGCCATGGACACTCTCCATGGATGGCTGCCCAGGACAACTCTGGACTGTCCTCCCTGCACCCTCGCTGTTCCACAGACACCCTAGCCAAGGCCAAATAAAGCCAGGTGGGGCTCATGCCACAGCTCTAGAAGTTACAAGTCATAAACCTTGGCATGTGATGCTAATTCTACAGGTTTGTAGAAAGCAAGAACTGTGGAGGCTTTGCAGCCTCCACCCAGATTTCAAAGGATGTCCTCAAAAACCTGGGAGACCAGATACAGACTTGTCCCAGGGGCAAAGCCAATGGCAAAATGTGGGGTTGGAGCTGACACAGGGTTGGTAATGCCTAGTGGAGCTGTGGGAGCAGGACCACCACCAGGAACTCAGAACTGTGTAGTTACTGGCAGCATGCAACATACTCCTAGGAAAGCTTCAGGCACTGGACTCCAACTCATACCAGCAACCATATGGGCTGCACTGAGCAAAGCTATAGGGGCAGAGCTGCTGAAGCCTTGAACACCTAGCCTCAACCTAGTGTGTCCAGGAAGCAGTACATGTAGTCAAAAGAGATTATTCTCCAGCTTTAAGATTTACCATGTGCCCTGCTCAGTTTGGAACTTGCTTGGGAGCTACTGGATCTCTTGGGATATATCTTTTTCTTTTTGCCTATTTCTCCCTCTTAAAATGGGGAATGTCTGTCTTATGCATGTACCACCATTGGATGTTAGAAGTAGATAGCATGTTTTGATTTTACAGGCTCACAAATGAGACTCTGGACTTTGGACTTTTGAGTTGATGCTAGAACAAGTCAAGACTTTGGCATCACCAGAAACGGTGGCTCACGCCTGTACTCCAGCACTTTGGAAAACCGAGGCAGGAGATTAGGAGTTCAAGACCAGCCTGAGCAACAAAGCAAAACTCCCATCTCTAAAAAAGGCAAAAAATTAGCAGGGCATAGTGGTGCACACCTGTAGTCCCAGTTACTTGGGAGGCCGAGGTAGGAGGATTGCCTGAGCCCAGGAGTTTGAGGTTACAGTGATCTATGATGATGCCACTGCACTCTAACTTGGGCAACAACAGAGTGAGAACCTGTCTCCAAAAATAAAAGAAAACAGAAAAGAAAACTTTGGGACCATGGGGATAAAATGAATATATCTGTATGTGAGAAAGACATGAATTTTGGGGGGTCAAGATAGAATGAAATGGTTTGAATGTTTATGACCTCCAAAACTCAAGTTGAAATTTAATTCCCAATGTAGCAGTATTGAGAAGTGGGGTCTTTAAGAGGTGAGTGGGTCATATGAGCTCTCCCCACATGGATTAATAGATTAATTCATTCATGGATCAGTACATGAATGGATTAATGGGTAATCATGGGAATAGGACTGGTGGCTTTATAATAAGAGGAAGAAAGATCTCAGCTAGCATGCTCAACTCCCTGGCCATGTGATCCCTGCACTAACTCAGGACTCTGCAGAGAGTACCCAACCACCAAGAAGGCCCTCACCAGATGTGGCCCATTGACCTTGGACTTCTCAGCCTCCATAACTATAAGAAATAAATTTCTTTTCTTTATACATGACCAAATTTCAGGTATTCTGTTAAAAGCAACACAAAATAAAGCAATACATCTTCTCCTTATGAATATTTAAGAATACAACTTTGTGTTAAAGAGGATATACAAAAAATTACAGAATTTATGAAAAATAATTATAATGACAGAAGGACATGTGAGAATGCACGGGACACACTGAAAGCAGTAACTAGATGAAAATTCATAGCCTACATACTTATATCAATAAAAACCAAAGAATTAAAATAAATTTTCAACTTAAAATGAAAAGAAAGTCAACTAAAAAAAGAACAAGGATGAAAATAATAGGGCAGAGAAGAAAAACGCAGTTCATAAAATTAATAAATCAAAATCCCGATTTTTTTTAAAAAACATAATAGACAAACCACTAGGTCAAGTGGTTAGTGGTCTAATAAAAACAAAACAAACAAACAAACAAAAAAAAAAACAAAGAAAAAAAGCACAAATATACAAAATAAGAAGTAACAGGGAGAAATAACAACTGATATAGAGAAGCCAGAAATTAATTATAGGAGTCTACTTTGCAGACTTCAATGCAAATAATTTGAAAACTTAAAGGAAGGTAGTAATTTATTAGACTATGGAAATGTTCCAGATTAAAGGACGCTAAAGAGACAACCAAATGTAATGTTGACTATAGGCAGACTCCTTTACTAGAATGACTATAAAGGTTATTATTACACCAATTGACAAAACTAAACATGGATGGTAGATTAGATAAAAAATCTATTTATGGAGTCAATTGTACCATGGTTAGGGAAGAGAATATCCCTCTTCTTAAGGAACTATGATGTGTGTAATTCAGTCTAAAATGGTTTGGGGGAAAAAAGTGTATTTGTACATACACATACACACAGCACACATGTGTATTTTACACATGTGTAAAATGATAAAGCAAATGGAAGAAAATATTCATAATAGGTGAATTTGGGTAAAGGGTATACTACTGGTTTCTGTACTACTTCATTTCTATGATTTTTTGTAAATTTGAAATAAATAAAAAGTTTTCTAAATCACATTACAAAATTAGAATTCTGGTACTGATCCCATATCTGTTAATAAAAATTATATTTCTAAAGAAAAATTCATTGCTTTAAAATGTCAAAGGATCTTGCTGAGCGCAGTAGTTCACGCCTACAATCCCAGCACTTTGGGAGGCCAAGGCAGGAGGATCCCTTAAGCCAAAAGTTCAAGACTAGCCTGGGCAAAATAATGAGATCCCACCTCTACAAAAAATTTAAGAATTAGTCAGGTGTGATGGTGTATGCCTTTAGTCACAACTAATCTGAGGCTGAGGTGGGAGGGTTGTTCAAGCTCAGGAGTTATAGGCTGCAATGAGCTAGGATCACACTACTGCACTGCAGCCTAGGCAACAAAGACAGAGTGAGATCCTGTAACAAAACAAAACAAAAAACAAACAAAAAAGCTAAAGAATCAGGAACTTTAGCTTTAAGTGGAAACTGAAAGGAGCTTACCCATGAATAGGAATGCAAAACAGCCTTTCCATATTAGAAAGAATAATTTTGACAGTCTCTGGTGTTCTGGAAGAGCCCAACTCAGTCACCAAGAGTGATTTGGTAATATCTAAAAGAGAAAATGTTTTAAATAATCATTAGATTTTAATAATTAGAATTCTAGAAAAAAAATGACACTTGTAATTCAGAATGAAATAGGACATTTTTATATCTCACTTAAGTTTTATCAAATTTGTTTCTAAGTCTTTAAATATTAAAATACTTGTAAAGTTATCAAAAAGTGATCATTTTTATAAGCATTAGAGTCTGACTTATTAGATCAATACCCCAAAAGTATAAAATATAACCAATTTGCCTGCAGGCATGATAACTTTAGTGGGAAACAAGCAAATAATTTAAATATAAAAAAAAGTAGAAATTTGAAATTAAATTCAAAAAGGGATTTAGGTATAGATTTGAAAGAAAACAAAAGTTAAATACAGATCATCCAGTGCTTTCCATTACCCTCTAAAACATCCTGACTGAAGCTCAGGACACACTCAACACTCCCCACACTTTACCTCCTTTCCTCCTGAAATGTGTGGTCACCAGCTACGTTCGTTCCCAGCATCTTTCTAACTGTTGCACCACTTCTAATAGTTATTAATATACAATTTAATTTAAGATTATATAAAGTAAGGAATGATTATGCAAAGGGAAAGAGTTGTTTCTATGAAAGCTAATACATTCCTTCATTGCTAACAAGCACATTTTACACATGTTAACATCTCAAAAATTAGGATGCATCATCCAATCCTAGAGGTCTTAGAATTCAATAAAAAGGAAATGAAGTAAAAAGCTGCTCTCAAATTAAGTGCTTGATCGAGGGGAAAAATATAAAAGTCCAGAAACTACAGTCTGAACACAAATTGTTTTGCAAGTACCTTTAAGTTCTTGCTGCACTTAAAAGAATCTGAACGTGAAAACTGTGGAAAATGTTGGATGTTGTTTATGGAAGAAAGGTAACTCAAAACATCAATCAGCTGAGAGAAAGACAAAAAACTTTTTTATCTGAAGTCAAGCCCCTTTAAATTATCAGGCCCAGAGAGGCATCTGGAATATAACGGCAATCATGTCTTTCTGCCTGGAGCTAAATAATTACATCTTGAAGGCACTTGTTATGTGGGCTCCAGACTAACAGACAGCAAGTAACCATAAAATGCCATGTGCCCTACAGCTCAACAATGTACAACCAATCACTAACCAATGTTATTTCTGTAAACGAATGAGAATTCCTGATGAACAACTTTTGTAATCACCTCCTCTTCTGATTTCTCCCTTTTTCCTTAAAACTTGAGCCTCTCCTTTGTTTTCTGGAGTACTCTCTAAGGCAACCAACCTGGAAGTGTGTCCTGGGCTGCAGTCCTCAACCTTGGCCCTAATAAACTCTTTATATTAATTTTGCCTGAGCCTCTTCCTTTTAGGTCAACAGCTATCACAGAAAAAGACTTAAAATGACAATCATCGAGCTCATAAAAAAATGTATACATATCATTTTTAGTGAGTCCTAGCTTTAATGAAGTTTTTTTTCCTAATTACTAACCCAATGGCATAAGATTGGAAGAATTCTATGAAGAATCTGAGATGTGGTAGCTAAAACAACAAACCATGAACTCCACTAAGATAAAAAACCAGTCTTCATCATCTTCCTCTCCAGCACCTCATACAAGGTTGAGCTTGAAGTGTTTGCTCAATTGCATTTGCTTTTCCTGCCTCCACTCCACATTCAAAATACGAGTCGAAATAAAAGAATAAAGAGAAAATAAACATAATTTATGAATCAGTTAACACTTGGAGAACTCCATGTTCTCCAAGAAATTAAAAAACAGTCAAATAGGAGTACACAATATCAACTGCACCAAAAATTGGAGACTAAACCTACCTTCTTGCTTTGAAACCTGTAGTTTCTGACCATTACAAAAGGCTCCTTTTCCTTTCCTGGCAGTGTACATCTTATCTTCCACACAGCTGTACACAACTCCAAATTCTATCTGCAGAAGGAAAATAAGTTTCGTTTACCAAAACTGCGTATTCATCATTAAATCCATACATTTCCAGCCTAATCAGACCAAGAGGTCATCAGACCTGAAATCCTTGACTCCCCTCCCATCCCTGTCCAGACTTAAATAAGAGCACCCACGTTACCTCTCTCCCTCCTGTCTCAGATGAAGACAGATCTTTCCTATTTTCTAAGGTGAACAGTGTTATGATTCCTGTCCTCTCATGTATTCCCTGAAAAACTGCTCCATCAACTGATCCCTCTCCTCTCAGATTTTTCTTCTGGTACCTTCTCACCAAGTCTCTCCGTCCCCTATAAAACCTTCAAAATGGTATCCTCTTCTTTTCCCTTCACTGGCAAATAGCAGTCCACACTGTACATCCATCTCCTATTCTCCTCTTAATGCATTGCACTTGGGCATCTGCCCTGATCGCTCATTCTTCTGAAACTCCCACACAGAGAACATCAATGAACTCTTCCTGACCAGATGCATTCATTGTCTGAAGAATTGGAGACAGCTGGCCGTCGTCAGCACTTAATTCAGTACCTCCACGTTTCTGGCATTACTTTCTTAGTTGTCCTTGGCTCATTAATCCATTTCAGTGTCATTATTTTAGAATTTTCTCTGCCCTACCCTTTAAAGTTGTGCACCTCACATTTTTTCCTTCTTCCATTGCCTTTATTTTCCTCTTAGCTGTACATATTCTTACAGGTTGGTCCTTTCCAGCCCAAATTCCACTACCACCTATAATTTTGGTTCCCATCAACCCATCATCACAAGTAAGAGTTTACACTTCAGAACCTAGTCTTGTAGAAGCCTCAGAGGTCAAAATCACTCCTTGCCTGGTCACCTCCTATTCCTTCTTCACAAATCTCCTCTTTCAATTTTTATCATAAAAACACATCCCAATTTTGGCATTTCCTTGGCTATTCTCTCACTGCCTCATCTTAGTTCAGAATCATGCTCTTCAGAATATAATCTCTATATTGCTAGAATTATCTGTCACTTTCCAGTTAAAAATCTCTACTGGTTTTATACACCTAGAAAGAAAAGCTAAATTTTCTCATGTGGACAGGCCACAATGTCTCACAGTAAGGCCACAAGTAACTTACCTCACCAACCTCTGCTCTGACCACTTCCAGTGTTTCTCCATGGATGAACATCTCACTGTTCCCCATACAAATCATGCTCTTTAACTTCTCCACGCTGTTCTTTCTGATTAAAATGCTTTCCTTTTTTATTATCAGGAAAACCCCTAATTTTCTAAGCACCAACTCACGTGACCAATTTCTAAGCTCCTTGTGTTAGGAACATTTTCCCAACCCACACTGGGTAGAATGGTTTACATTGTGTTCCCACAGTATTTCTTCTCATGGTTCTGCCACACATTATGTTTACCTGTTCACGCATCTAACTCTGCGCTGAACTGTGAGTTCAGTGACAGGGACAGTACCTAGCCCAGGGCCCATTATATAAAAAATGCTCACTTAGCTCCTTTTGGATGTTCTTACTGATTGATACAACCCGAAGGCTTACCTTTTATCTATACTAATCTGTTTTAATTTTCAGATATTTCTTAACTATTTTGTTTACATGTTGATGAAATATCACAAGTTCCTTGAAGACAGGTATGTAAGATATTAGAAACATTCATCACTGTTTGACCAACCAAATAGCCAAACAGTAATGTAACAGCTACAGATTTTACTCTAGTGAACATTAGATAGAAGTATCGAATTATGTGTAGGTTCCTAAATATACTATACATTTTCCAACCAGTCTTTGGCCCCTGCTACTTTCCGGTCTTTCAACATCTCTCTTCACTGACAACTATTAAAGCATTCCTGGTTCAAATTCTATTTCCATGAAGCATTTTAGATTACCCATCAACTTCTATCACCTTTGATTCTATCATAAAAATAACAGTGACTAACAGTGACTAAATACTGAATTGTATTTCAGTTACTTCTGTGTATCTTCTCCTTACAACTCCTGCTTTTCAGAAAGCAATAAATTTTCTTCACTGGAATTGTATCATGAAAATGTTAACAGTCCCATAGCTTATATTCAAAATAATGCAGTTATATGAATTAAATACATAGATAAATCCGAATTTTTTATGCAGATAGATTCACTCTTTCTCAGAAAAGGAGAGCAAAGTCTTTTATCAACTATACATTTAAAACAACATACCTTTTTATTTACAACAAAGCCAATTGAAACAGCTACAAAAGGAAATCTTAAAAGAAAGACAAAACACAAATTTACCAAGGTAGAACTTGTTTTTAATAAAATTAACACAATTCATCTGTTCCTAAGTACTTAAAAATTTTTCATATAAACAGTCTCAACCCTCCTCCCCCCTTAAAAATGTAAGATGCACAGAGTACAGTATACAACCCTTCTTTTACATAGGAAAGAAAGGAGAAGGTATTATATATACATGCATACAAGATGCATCTACAGGCATGAAACACCTTTCAAAGGATTTACAAGAAACTGATGATAATGGTTACCTCCAAAAATGGATGCTGGGAAACCAGAGACAGAAGTAGGAAGGGCGCCTTGCAATGCAAGCCATTTTATATCCTTAGAATGTCAAATGCCATGAATGTAGTAACCATGTAAAAATACTTTCTCAAAAAATAAAAATAAATTTTTTTAAAACTTTTACATTGATGATGGTTAAAAAGAAAAGACTCTTTTTTGGTCATTTTTCCTACAGCCTGGACCCTTGATAGAAACAGGTACTGCATTATATAAAATAAATTGTTGTTACTTCTCTCTACTCCACACCAAACTTAGAGATTCACACCTGAAAAGTAAACTACATTTATTTCTAAGGTTGCATGAAAGTTTGAACAGAGGTTTTAATTTCTGATTCACAAAAGAAACAAGAAGAAGAAAATAGACAAGATAGGTTCAAGATAACTACTGAAAATAAAAACTTTTAAATATTAATATAGTTTTTATTTTAACAAAAATAAGATCATACTGTATATACTGTTGTATACAATCTTCTCTTATTATATAACATTACATTATATTGTATTATTGTATTACCATATATTATTAGCATCTTTCTAAATTTAAAAGATACAACATTCTATCACATATAGATTCTAGACCTTAACTTTATAGAGTTTAATGGTTACATATGTAGTACAGATGTGCACAACTACATGGTAACTTCAAATATAACATTGCTGTGTGTTCCCACCAAGCCAGGCTACTCATTATAAAACTCTCACAGGCAATTCCATCAGACTTTCTTTTAGTGGTAATATACTGAGTTATAATATACTTACTCTGTGCCAGGCAGTATGCTAAATCCTATATAAATGTACTAATCATTGAGTCTCAACAACAAACAATTCTATGAGGCAGGTGCCATTAGTATGGACATTTTATACATTTTTTAAAACACTGAGTAAAGATTAACTAACTTGCCCAAGGTCACAATAAAAAAGGACCAGAATTGAAGCCCAAGTCTGTTGATCCTATCACCCCTGCACTTCTGAACCCTGTTTACTCTCTTGCATTCAACTCATTCCATATTCCATGCACTCAACATATTCCATGGAGTGACAACATTTCCAAAGCGAACTCCTTAGTTTCTTTACTGATTTCAAAGCAGTGATGTTGTTTGGTTCCATTTTTACACGGCTCCAACAATGAGAAAAAGAATGGTGAATAGGGTGCTTTGCAGCACAAGACAGGATCACACATTAATATTTCTTCCCCTCCTCCACATCTGATGTGAAGACTGCATGGTGCATTTGGCTCTACTATTCACTCTAAATAGCCTTTCATAGAATAAAGCACAAATTACACAGTTCTCTAAAGTGTATATGTTCCTCAACAGAATACTCTAAAAGGTCAACCAGTTAATATACCAACAGTAATTATATTAAAAATTGTAAAACATACCTGTGAACAAAGTTAGTTGTTCCATCAATAGGATCAATGATCCACGTGGGGTTGTCGGTTAAGATACATTTCTCCCCAGCTGCCACAGACTCCTCACCAATGAAACTAAAGAGAAGAAGGACAAATTCCACTGCTTTCAACAATTTCCAAAGCATAACATCTCCTTAGCAACAGAGAATCTACTATCAAACATAATAAAATCTGTACCCTACTTTTCCACTGTTGCTCCTTTTCCCTTTCTGAAAAAACTGATGAAAGTGAGGAAGCTTTATTACCCTTGGAGCAAAGATATGTGAAAAATTACAGAATTAAAAATTCTAAAATATAATACCAAAGTGAAAGCACACACATGTGTACATGGACAAACACTTGAAAAGAGCACTGGCTGCAGATGAGAAATCATTAAGATAATGTGGTGATTTTATAAGTAAGTCAACATATTCCCTCCCTTCAAGAAGTAGAGCCTAAAACCAGTTAACCTTGAGTGTGAGCTAGACTTAGTGACTCCTTTCTAACCTGTAAGGTGGAAGTGACAGCGTAAAACTTTAGAGGCTAGTTCATAAAATGGCCATGTGGTTTACATCTTGTTACTCTTTTTCTCCCTCTGTGAGCCTCCTGCTCCTTGCTTTGGAAGAAGCCAGCTGCCATGTTGTGGGCTGCTCTGTGAAGAGGTCCACATGGCAAGGAACTGAGGGAAGCCACCAGCAGACAATCCTTGAGGGGATGAAGTGTGTCAGCAATCATACAAGTGAGTGACCCTTCAGCCCCAGTCATGCCTTGAGATGACTGTAGCCCTTGACCACACTTTGACTATAACTTCATGGGAGCCTTGGCCAGAATCATGCAGCTAAGCTATTCCCATATTCTGTAATCCCAGGAAACTGTGCAATAATAAATCCTTGCTGTCTACAGCTCTAAGTTTTTGGAGTAATTTGCTTTGCAGTAATATATGATTAATATAGACAACATTAAATAAGCAATCAGAAAGCAAATCACCCAAACTACTGTGTGTGTACATGCCTTCCTAAATCATGCTATGCAATAAATCTTATGGAAATTCCAAAAATGGTGTCTGATTCACTGGTTTTCTTCTTTCCTGTTTTCTTTTTACTTTCCTTTAACACTGAACTGTCCTAGTACGCATTATCATGATATTCTTTTCACTTTTTCTCTTAGCTGAAAACCTTTTTATTGAAGGAAGTATATTTCATCACAGCTTTAAATATTATTTTCTTCTCAATGGCTGAAAAGACCAAGAATGGCCAATGGCATGACTAGGAACAAGTACAGAACGACAGTGCTAACACTTTAAAATGATGACAATGTTTTTGTCAAATTTCCATGGCTATACAAGAGCCCTGAATTAGGTTTTTCTCTCAAACTCACTAAAGTTATTGTCACTTTACCATATAGAGAAGTTTATGATACAGAGAATAAAATCGAACTTCGCAGACATTTGTCATGTTGGCTTCCCAGCATCCAAACAGTCCTTTCTATGAATGAATCCAAATATTCCCTCTCCTCTGCTCCCTGGCAGCTTATGCCGGGGCAAAGAATCTAAGCTCAAAAAGCATAAGCTTCTGTCCAGAATCTGTAATCTTAAAGCCAATGAGATTGAGATAGAAGGGTGATTAAAAGTATTCAAAACCATCAGAGTCAGGGGTGAGGCCACCAGTGGTCTCCTAGAGATGGCTCTTGTGTGATCTATATGCACACCTCCTCCCTCCCATGGTTCCTGCTTGAGCTGCCCGACACCTTCAACATAAATTGCTTCTCAGCTTAAGTTAACTAAAGTTAGTTTCTGTGTTTAGAATCAAAGTTCTTGCCTACTATATTGACTTAAACCTGGGTTTCATTTCATAATTTGAAATTGAATAAAGAAATACCTGTGAGATGGATACTTTTCCTTTATCGAAGAAATAAGCATTTGTTCAACTTTTTGGTCAGTAACAGTTACCAAATCAGCTGGAGAACTTTTCAGCATAACATTCTTTTCATCTTTAAGAGCCTCACAGACCACCTAAAAAGATTTTTTGGTAAGCAAACAGAAAAGGCATAAGTAATTTAAATCAAACAAAAAGAAATGGTTTAAAATGGTTTAAAACTTTTAATCTGTCTAAAGTGATATTCTTTAAAGACATTTTTAAAAATTTCTTACAAAAATGTCTATAAAATAAAGTTTTAATAGTGAAGACCTACTAGGGACAAAAATTATAAATACTCTTACAACCTATTTTAGAAGAACAACTGCCACGCAAAAAGTTTAATGATATAAAATAGGAGTATTCACTCTATTTAGAGTGTTTAATAAAATGAAAATGAATGTAATTAAAATATGTATTTCATTTAACAAAGTGATCACACACTGTGCAAACCCATTACATTATGGCTGACAAAGTTTTAGTTCATACCTTTCCAGCTTGTCTTGCTAGGGTTACTCCATAATCCATGCATTCCTGCCATGGATCAGCCATCTTCTGAAAATATTTAACACATATCAGCACAAAGTAGTTACAATTCTCTAGAAGTCTTAATTATCCATAGTTATTGCACAGAGGCATCTTAATTAGCAACAGACTTTCAAGATTCACCCTCTGCTCTAGTCTACAGGTCAATATTCTTCCCAACATTTACTCCTAGGCTAGGTAAAAAATATTTTTGACCTAAATAACTTCTGTAAAAACAGTTTCATAACAAAAAATATTCTATGAAATTGTCTCCCAGTCTGTCCACAGTATATCACATTAGAAAAAAAAAAATAAAAATAAAACACTGGTTTGAAAAATGAAGAAGAATAGAAGAAACATTTTAAAGATAGGTAAATATCTGGGTGGAAAACAAAGTAAAAATAAGAGAAAGAACACTGGAAATACAGAAATAAAAGAAGTTTGAAAGGAAGGAACAACAGGCACATGCACTAACTGAATACCAGGCAGTTAGGTGCTTTACACATGAAATTTTCTTTTTAAGAAGGTTTTAAAGATAAAGAATGTAAGACTCAGAGATGAGAAATGTGTCCAACAATATACAGACAGAGGACACAGTCAAAATTTGAACTCAATTCTGATTTTAAAGTCTATTGTTCTATTATAATGTTCTGAGAAAAAAAAAATTCCAGGCCCCAAAAATAATAAAAAAAAAAAAAAAAGGGAAAATTTCTTTCTCTGAGATTCAGAGAGGGGGAAAAACACAACATATTTTTGTCCTCTGAACTCTCTAGCTTTTCACTGACTTCTGAAGATTAAAATAACTCACTGCTGGCTTGACCACACTCTAAAATCTGTACCTAGCACAGTGAAGCTTTTGAAGCTGTCAGACTCAAAAACTGTGGCATCATTTATAAAACAACCCTAATTTTGTCTCCTTTATAACTGAGAATAACTGACAGAGTTGCATCTTGAGGACTACCCAGAAATCCCTATCTTGGTGCTCACATTACAGGAAAGGGGAGAGGAAGGAAAGGGAAAGGACCCATATAGAGAGTTTCTGCTGGTTGCTTTTTTTTCTGATAAAAGCATTTAAAAATTTTTCGAAAGGAGTCTACTTTCTGATTTATATAAATAACTCCTTAGAGCTCTTCAAGAATTATTTCCAATTTTTTTTTCATTCTTACTCCCATTTCACTCTTCTGCTTAGTAACCAATTGGATATTGGGTATGAGGAGAGGAATAGTTCAAGGATGTCCAGATTTCCCACTTTGGCAATTGAATGGATAATGGTGACATCTACTGAAACAGGTAGCAACAAAAAAGAGTTGAGTTTGGGATTTGGGTGGCAAGTCAGGAGATCAAGAGTTTAATTAGGAGAGGATGAGGAGCCTCTGTGAATTCAAAGGAGATTTCAATTAAAAGGAGAACTCAGAGAAGAGGTATGGCCCACAGTTATAAATATATAAGTTATATAAGTAGGAAGCAAATGAGTCCTGAGTCTGGACTTCAGTGGACAGGCATAATTGACGATCGTTGAGAAATGTGATTCCACAAAAGCGTAAATGATCTAATACTAATAGACTGAGTGGGGAACACTGCAAGGCCTGTCTGTTCAGACTTTTCTTGGCCCCTCTAGGTAGCATTCCTTTCTCCAGGGTATGGCATAGGACCCCTTCTGAAATAGGGATCTTATGACTTACAATCTGACAAGATAGGTCAGAGAATTTCTTTATGGTCAGCTCCAAGACAGAAAGGCTGGGGAAGGATTCCTGCCTTAGAGAGAAAGGGGGATGTGGGAGGAAAGGAGAGCAGGAGAAGGTCAGAGAGAGAGATTACATTTTCTGAGACCTACAACACCTCAACATTGTAACAAAAGACTAACAAGGGCTATGGGAGTTACGAGTCAGGAACACATAACATATTCATATTTATATATAAAAAAAAAATCACAAGTGCATTTCCTGATGGTAAGAGACCATAGTTTACTCACTTCATTTTCCCAAAGACATAAACACATGAAAGTTTCCAACTGTGTCTGCCCTGGTTACAGCATTCCCTGCAGTGGGAGCCACAGCACCTTCCTCTCTGTCCCCTGTCCTCAGCAGCGCGACAGTGCATAGGACGAGATCAGGGAGGGACGCTGCCCCATCACTCACAGTGACTACCTGACCCTGGGAATCTGCCAGGTCTCTCCGAGCTTCTCAGGAGTCATAAAAATTAAAATGGGGCAATTATTCCACATAAGCTGTTACAGTGTTAGGATCGCGGAGGCGAAACCGCTACACAAACATCAGGACTGCTCCAGGTGGACCTAGACAAGTGCTCCGGATCCACCGCAGGGCAGAGGTCACGCAGGGTAGAGGTCACGCAGATGCGGCCTCCGCCCCAGCGCCGCCCCCACCCCGCTGACCGCGCCCACCCTCGGCCCTCCCGCGGGGAGGGGCCGCCCCGCGCCGCCCAGGCCCACAGCGCCCACTGAACGTGGAGAGAGGGCGGCACTGTACGGTCTCACCTCCAGCTGCAGCGCGTCCTCTTGCTCGCTTGATGCTCGGTGTCACCCGCTATTCAGATCTCCCGGATGCAGAGAGGCTGCCCAGACAGGAAGTTCCGCCTTTATAGGCGCCGTCCTTGAGAGGCGTGGTTTCTGTGGGCCCCGCCCCACCGCTGGAGCCTCCGTCACTGCTGGAGCCACGCCCCCAGCAGTCCCCTAAGCTTCTGCCTTGCCAGGCTGGGTCCTGACCTGCTTGGCACATCAGATGTGGCCTGTTCCTTCTCACCTCTGGCACTTTTAACTTGCTTTTTCCTGCTTGCCGGTTCTACTCTACCTTATTAAAAATTCCTTTCTTTTTTATTTTGCCCATTTCTCCTTTCGTTTTCCATTCCTTAATGTTTTCCCATTTTGCTTTCTTTCTCTCATTTATTCCATACTACTGTTTTGACAAAACAAAAAATTGGAAATATAACTCCATTTGTGCAGCTTTTTTTTTTTTTGCCAAACTTATACTAGGTAAACCTATGCTAGTTTTGTTTGTTTGTTTTGATAACCGATAAGCTAAACCAACTGCTATTATTTCTTGATAATTCATTTAGCTACCGTTTATTGAGAACTTTATATGCTTCAGGAAATTATGTTCTTATATGCATTACTTAAACATTGCAACAGTTCCATGAGGAAGGTATGATTAGCTTCGTCACACAGATGAGGAAACTGAGGCTCAAAGTAGTTAAGTAAGTAATTTGTCCTCAGGTCACAAACCATGAGCAGAGAGTGAAACATAGTGACTTCAAATTGTTGAGGCTAAGAAAAAATACCCCAAAATGAAGGTCTCAGAGGCAAAAGTTTTTCTCTGACTTCTGCCCTCCTGTCTCTGGCCTCTAATTCTCCCCCAAGGGTAGCCATAGAAACTAGACTTCCTCTTCCCAAAGGCAGGCCATAGAAACAGGAACTCTTTTCTTCAAAGCCAGCTATAAAATCTAATGATGTCACTGTAAATTGTCCCCAGCTTCGTGTGTAAAAACTGAACATAAATTTTCTGATATTTTTTTTTCTGATCACAGGTCATAGGGTCCCCATTCAGAGAGGGCCCTACCCACTACCCAGAAGGAAGGAATGATACAGAGAGAGGCCAAGAAGAATCTACACAACCAGGCCTCGTTGGGTTTCCTCACTCAGTGTATTAGCATTAGATTATATTAATACCTTTTTTGTCCAATCATATTTCTACACAGCTGTCCATACTTAGTTGAACCTAAGCATAAAAATGGACTTTTTCCCCTGTATCTTTGGGTCTTCACTCTGAAGGCTAGTGAGACCTCTAAAACTATGATCACATAAACTCGTATCCTTTTTTACTATTAATCTGCTTTTGATCAGTTGATTTTCACCAAACATTCAGAGGGCAAAGGGGTATTTTTCACTTGGCCACTGCAAAAGTCCATACCTAGAGAATATATGTCTTCAGGAGGTTGCATTATATGAGGTACAAGGGCTAGTCTATGGCCCTTAAAATGTATACTTTTCTTGAAAGCGTGGTATTGTGGTATATATATCAACATAATGCAAAAAGGATTGCATAGATATAAGATATCCTCACCATAACAGGACCAGGAAACAGAAATATTTGGCTCTTCACCTATGAAGTGATTTATTCCCTTAGTTTAATCAAAAGACAAGATGTCATCAACGTGTTGCAAATGAAACATGTCTCAAAAATGAATGATGTGAACTGTGGACCCAACGCTTACCTCACAAAGGGTAATAAATTTGTCTCTGTTCTTCTAAAGAGTGATCCCTTAGGTATCTGATTTGGATACCTCTATTTGTCTATCGAGTGATTCTTTTGTTTTTGTGATTTTAAAAAAATCTTCAGAAACTAGTTCTTTGATTCTTCCTTGTAAATTATCTTAAAAGGAGTATCTTGCCAATAGCATGGTGATAAGTGCTGATTCATAACCAAAAATTCTCCAGGCACTTGCAGTAATGCTATCAGTTATCATTAAATCTTTTGTAAATGAACGTGGTCTCACCGATTTGGCAAAGCTGCTAAATTAGTGTAACCAATCTGACGTAAGATAGATAAAACGTCACATATCTTATTTCTTCAAGTTAAAACCATTTCCAGCTTCCTTTGTCAGATGTGCAGGAAGTCCAGTTTTTTTCTAGAGTCCTCAGCTGCTATTTCACAATAGTTCTCAGGTAACCCAGTTTTCTTCAGTCCAAAGAGGCCGTTCTACTTCCAAATGCCTTAATGAAAGGAAATGAAAACTCTGCCAGTGCACAGGGAAGTCTGGTGTTCAGATGTGGTCGTGGCCATGCTGCAAGCTGGTCCCACACAATCTGAAAGATCTTTTGTCCAGTGCTATGAAATAATTCAGGAGGCTGCAGAGACCTCAGCACCTGATGCATCTGTCTTGGGTTCCCAAAGGGGCAGTTTTTAAAACTATACTCACATCTACAGCCATTGCTCCCAATCCCAAAGAACATCTGCTGTGCCAAAGTGTTTGTGGGAGGCAGTGGACAGGTTCTAGTCTCAGCCACATACTGTACCAGGACAAAATCTGCTTCCTGGCATGATATCTAGCACATCTCCATTGCATCCTTCCCTAATGGCAAGTTACCTCTTGGAGGCCTTCATATCCTATCCTGTCAGCTGACTCCCATCTATGAGAAGGTTCTGATTAGGCTACACCTCAAAATAGGATAGGTGAGATCCAATTCCCCAGACACCTCCCCAGACACCTGACTGCACAGGAGGGAGTTCTGGGAAAGGTTGGCCTTTGTCAAGCCAGAAAGTGGTCAGGCCCTTCTTCCCCGTGGGCAATTGTACCTAATTGCCCTATATTTGTATAATAAAGAGGGACTACCATGGGAATGCCATCTCCAGAAATTGCGGACATCTTTCTAACTCTACTTAGTCTTTGGAAAAGAATTCTTTAAATGACAAATCCTTTTGCTAAAAAAAAAGTCAGGTTCCAAATGCAAAGACTTTCTTAGTTAATAGTTAATTGTTGAAGTGGATTTTGATTAAAAATGAATAAATACATAATGCACAGTTGCTCAAGAGTGGAGTGTCCAGGATGTCTAATAAGATTCCGTGCTTTGATAAAACGTAAATTGGAGTTGCAGACATTGGTTAAGCCCTCTGACATGCCCCTGCAAAGCCAACAGCTTTCCCAAATATATGAATATATATCATAGAATTATTATTCTTGGATCAGTTTATCATAGATTCATCCCTCTTAAGGGATGGAACAAAACTTTTTAAAAAAACAACCCAAACCCCCCAACTCCGAAAACTTTGGCCAAACAAGCAAGGCCGGGGAAAAAAAAGGAAGGGGAACCAAACGAATAAAAAAGCCCCCCTAAGCCCCCCCCTCCTAAAAAAAAAACCAAAAACAATAACTTGAGTCATTTCGTCTTCATCCAAATTTTCAGACAAGTTTACTGTGCAAAATCTGTCTTCCCTGATACATCAATAAAAGAAATAAAATATATTCCAAATTCCATCCATGCACTTTCAATTGCTTTATGAGGTATAACATCATTCAACTATACATAGAGTAAAAGTAATAATAAATAGAGCTTAGGTTATGTTAGGCATTGTTCTGAGGACCTTGTTCATATTAATTCATTTAATCCTCATAACAAGACCATGAAGTAGGTACTATCATTTCCCCCATTTTCTACATGAATTTGGGCATAGAGAGATTAAGTAACATGTCTAATGTCACCAGGTAGTAAATTGACTCAGCTGGCACTGCAGCCCAGCCATAGTCTGGCTCCAGAGTATCTGATTCTGACCTTTATAGATATTACTAATTAATTAATTCAATAAATGTTTAATGAGCACCTACTCTGTTCAATGCATCCTGGAAACACTGTAGGAAATTCAAAGAATAGTGTGTGGTCCTTGCCCTCAGGAAGCTCCTAGTTTGGTTGTTGCCCTAATTAAAAAGGAAAAGCAATGTAGTTATTCTCAACCTGAACTTTCTTCTCTTCACACCATACTCTTTCTTACCCATGGTGCTAGGTCCTAGATTTTTATACCAGAATAACAGACTTACAGAGGTGAGCAAAAACTTAAACCTTAGTTAAAGCTTTTTATTTTACAGATTTGAAAACTTAAGTGCAGACAAGTGTCTTATTCTAGGTCACAAGCTTAATAATAAAGTACAATTACAAAGGTATGTCTCCTGTACCCCCACTAGTAAAATATGTTTATTAAAATGTATGTAAGTTCAACTCGTACAAATTTGATTCTATTTTAAACTTCTAAGTGGAAATTTCTGTTTAAAAGATTAAAATATACTATGTAGGCAATTATCATTTCATAAATCAAAAAACAATTTATCATCATGTCACACCAGGTCTTTTATAAATCTTGATATTCATATCCTGGATTTTGTGACATCAGAAAAAAGAAGCTTGCTTGTCTTATGAGCTGGTGAAGAAAACAAAAATTCCCTAATACTATGAGTAAGATAGTGAATAACCCTGATAGAAAAATGTTGAAAGTATTAGGCTCCATACAAGGTTATGAGATCAGTATATCAGGGTTGAAAGTTAAAACTCTGATAAAGTAACAATATCAGCTAATACTGTGCACTTACTATGTGTCAGACATTCTTCTTAGCACATTACATGTATGATTTCCTACAATTCCTAGTACAGTCTGATGGAGGTGACACCATTATCTCTCTATTTCTGAAATGAGGAAACTGGAATGTAGGGAGATTAAAGAATTTGCCCATAAGTGTGAAGCTAGGAAATAGAAAAAGGAAAATTTTTTTAGATTTATAGTTCCTATTCTTGATGCCTATACTTTCTTTGTTGAAGAGTGTAGATTGGAACTATATACTAAAAATTTCCATTGAAAATTGAAAGTGGTATAAAAAAATACATACTATTCATTTGGGCCCTAGTCTGTGTTTCAACACTCTATTTGAATAAGCACATAGAAAATATTGTGCTAGACATGATGGAAAGTATCAGAACAAATAAACATAATTTTTATGTTCAAGGATTTATAGCAACATTGGAATTAGACAGCAGGAACAAAAACAGCTATAAGAGAGGCCGAGTTGTCTGTTATGAACATCATGACCCCCATGTATGCCAAGTTATATATCCTTTGTTTGATTGCAGCAAAGACTGTGTGTAAATAAGAGAAAGAGGAGATAAAACTGGGAAGCTAGATTAAGGTCAGAGAGTAGAGAATAATAAATGCCTCACTAGGGAATACAAACCTTATTTGAAAGGCCAAAGGGCTTCATTGCAGGGAAATTACATGGTCAAAGTTAGATTTCAGAAAGATTAGTCTGGCAGTGACTAGAGGGTTGACAGAGAGGCCAGACGCCAGTTTAGAAAGATTTAGAGAAGAAGCGATATAGTGCAGAACAAAAGGAATAGCACTGGGAATGGAGAAGAGACTGATTAAAAGATATTATAGGGCATTTTCCATTGGAAATAGGTCGACTATGAAAAAAGAAATTGACAAAAGAAAGAAGAGGGAGAGGAGCGGACCTGTGTTTCGGGGTAAAGGGTAATGCCTTTGGTGGGAGATGTGGAAGATGGAAGAAAGTGAAGCTCTGAGAACAGAGATGTGACATACACTTTAAGACATATTGATTTCGATGGGCCAGTGAGAGATTTCAATAGGAATTTATATATTCATTCACTAAGTGATCATTTACCAAATGTTTACGAAAAATTATCTGCTTCCTTATTAGTCCTGTGTAGTATTTTACTGTCTGTGCCACTCATTAGGGAATTAGCATATATGATTACATATTCTTTCCTCCCTGCTCCCAATTTCAAATTTAAACCAGATCACAAGTGGCTTGTAAACAGGTATTATTTTAGATATTCTTTGAATCTCCCACAGTGCCTCTCCTAGAGTAAGAATTCAGTAATGCTTTATTAGAGTAGGAAATTTTTTTTTCTTTTATCTTCTACAATAAATCTCTTAGCCTTGTAGACAAGAAGGATCAGCAACATTTCACTTCCGGAACACATGGCTACTATAAAAGGAGCCACAGAGGCTAACTCTGCCTTGGACTGTGAAAAAGAGAGCTGAATGATGGCAAGGGCTAAGAAACTATTTAATATCCCACTCTCAATAGCAACCGTTTTACAAACAGGAAGAGGCAGCATACAAACGTTAGCAAAGGAGTACCCAAATGACAAACCCAAAGCAGGAACTAAGAGACCCAACAGAAGCACCCCTGGATTAGCTATTTTTAGAAACATTAATCCCACTCTGAAAGTCAAATAAATCCCTATAAACATTAAAATAAAACTCAGAGGTCTAGTTATTCTCTCTAAGAAGATTGCTTTTTCGGGTATTCTACGCTTGATGACTATTCCAACTGATATTGGTATAAGTATGAAAAGGAGGGTGGACACAATTTTAGAAACAGGAATATGAAATGTACCTGATAACCCTAATACCTTACTGTATATATGAGAATTGACAGGCATCATTATCAGAGCCAGTAATGTTGAGGTGCAAGTCATCAAAATGGCCAAAGTGACATCTCCGTCTAGAAGCAGAGCAAAGACATAGCCCCCACCCCCTCCTGGGCATGTGCAGGTCATCACAAATCCAAAAGCTTGTGCCTCAGGCAATGCCAAAATCTGAGACAGAAGAAATCCACAAAATGGCATAAGAAAAAACTGTGTAACTGCCCCAAGAATTACTGGCAAAGGTCTCTTCCATACTGTTTGAAACACCTGTAATTCAATCTTGCAACCAAATGCACATTTATTCAACAATATCACTGGTAAAATAAGCATTATGATATTTCTATCAATATTTACTGATGCCTGGAAAAGACTGTCTTTTGTTTGTTTGAGCACTTTGACTCTGACATTCTTTATTTCTTCAATGAGTCTTTCTTGCCCACCTTCAGAATCCCAGAGCTGAATGGTCAGATTCGTTTCTCCTTCTTCATCTGTCACTAGCTTTATGCTAAAGTTTGTAACATCTGACGAGGTCTTGGTCACATTCACCACTTGTAACATTTTGGGATCTTCCAATTGCACAAAGAGGTAGCTGGAGTTAGGCCGTTTATCTTTGTAGCTTGACCTTACAGTGAGGATTTCTTCAGTCTTTGTGAAAAATAATATTTCAGTTTTCTCTATAGTCAGAAAACTCTGTAATGACTTCCTTGCCTCTCCCAGAGACACAAACAACAAAAGTAGGACGATAAAAACTTTTGTAACCATTTTGAAAGCTTAAATAAATCATATGTGCATAACCAATTTTTAAAAACTAAAGAACATTCTTCACACAGTTGCTCCAGTGATGGTCTGTGGTTCAGTTAGGTAACAGCTGTTTTTCTGGATCAAAGTCCAGTAGGAGGGACTGCTGTACTTTTCAAACAAATGCAAAGCTATCTAGTGAGCGACACAACCTGTTTAACTTGTAGGTAAGAAACTTTAAATGCCATGGCATTTATCAGATTCAATTTATTACAGCAGAAACCCAATCCCTTTCCTCCTGACTGCCTCATTTCTGCCAATGAAAAAATCAGCCTCTTATTCACTGTAATTTAAAACCTTGGTGTCCTTTTTTAGTTCTCTTTCTTGCTATGAAAAATTTACATGAAAAGCAGTCAAGATCAAAAAATCCATAAGATAGTGAGGAGGCCTGGAGATCAGTGTTACTATTTTATTCATTCAAGTTAAAATCAAATATTAATAAATATTCACTGAATATCTGTTTGCTTGGGGCACTGAGCTGGTGGCTGGCTATATATACCATAAGTGCTTAAGCCAGATGCAGTCTCTGCTTTCCTGGAGTTTAGTCGGGTAACCTGTTAGCAATAGTTAGAAAAGTACAGAGCCCATAAACTAGTCTTGGCAGACTCCTTAGGTTGCTAATAATTTTTCTACAACTCTAAAGGGTGATCATATCTGTCAGGCAAAAACTGAAATGGTTTTTGGTGTCCTTAAGCAGGAAAATAATTTCCTGGATTGTTACCAGCTGACTTGTGAATATAGGGAAAGTAGGTGGTTGTTACCATGGTCAAAGTTATACCCAGGTTGAAGGGCCACTGCTACTGGCCACTCAAACCCTGGACACTCAAAGCCTAACATGGTGGAGCCATGGAAAGACACTGCATTAATTCTAACCTCTTATTCCTTATTTGTAACACTATTTCCTGTTTACAGTTATGAGCAAGAACATTCAATCGACTCAACTTAGGTCATATCCCTTGGTTGCCAGGGATAAGGAAAAGCATCAGGTCAGACTCACACAATTGTGTATTTCCAAACAAGGGGAGGGTGTTCTGATGCTAAGCAGAAAACAGACAAATATACAAAAAAAGTAAACACAGCTATCTACTATTAGGCAGGCTCCTGCCTGTAGTCGAAGCCCTTTGGGAGGCTGAGGGGAGAGGATTGCTGGAGGTCAGGAGTTCCAGACTAGCTTGAGCAAGACCTCATCTCTACAAAAAATAGAAAAGTAACCAGGCATAGGCCTGTAGTCCCAGCTCCCCAGATACTCAGGAGGTTGAGTCCCAGCTCCCCAGATACTCAGGAGGCTGAAGCAGGAGGATCACTTGAGCCCAGGAATTTGAGGTTGCAGTGAGCTAAGATGACTCCATTGCATTCCAGCCACCACGACAGAGTGAGAGTCTGTCTCAAAAACAAAACAAAAAAATCACAAACAAAAAAACCCCCTATATGCTATTATATTGAGCATACGGATCTAGCATTCTCTGAACACATTGACCATTTCAGCAGATCTTCATGTAATCACTATGCAACCAGTATTAAATGCAACCGTTTCTATTAAGTGTTTAGATCGTATTTGCTCCTCAAAAATTGTCAAAGCCATTTTTATCAGACATTTTAACAAATTTTGAAAAATTCTGTTTTTGATGTAGGTTAATCTTTTTAATGCAATAGACTTTAGATATTCCAAATTTTATTTCCATGTACCACATTAAGAAAAACAAGATACATTGTACTAATGGTGAGAATAGGGAATAAAACTAAACTGTTCAGTGATTTTTTTTGTAGTTAAATTGCCAAAGAACTTCCCTATTATAAAATTACAAAAAGAAAAGAAACACGAAATAAAAACTTCATAAAACCAAAGTTATAATTATAATTATGTGATCAAAAATCGTGATTCATAATTTTTATTGCCTGAGTCAAATATGTGAAGTATGTTACTATTTTTCCTTCAAATTCCTCTATCTGCAAACATTTTTCTTCTTCAGAGTCTCCAAACCCTTTCCTTACCTGAAAACTGTAAAAAATAAAACTTGAAAAATCTAGGGGGAAAAATCTGATAACCTGTCATTCACATGTACACAGGTTGTCCAAAAATTTCATTGAAAATGTATTATGAAAAAAATATGCATGGATTTAAAATTTTTTTCAGCAAAATAATCAAGTACTAATTTGATATAACATGTCCATACTGGATCTAGTTTGAGGCACTAAAAAGGATAAGACATCAGTTTGAAAAGAGCCCCTTTATCAGAGCAACATGAATTCTGCTAAAATTGAAGCAAGAACATCACATTTATGGTGAAGCTTGGATGAAAAAACAGTGAAATCATCTATGTTTTACAAAAGGTTTATGAAGACAGTGCCCCAAAGAAATCAGCAGTTTACATATGGATAACTCATTTTAATAAGCTTATGTAATTCTGACTGAAAAAAATTACAGTTGAGCAAGTTTTCCAATTGATGGGTGACAAAACTGTTGCATCCTGATCAGCTGCAGACAAGAGGAAATCTTTCAATGGAGATTTTAACAAGTGGCATCAAGATCCTGAAGCATTTCTTCAAAGAATTGTACTAGGAGATGAAACACGGCTTTGCCAGTATGATCCTGAAGACAGAGAACAATCAAAGCAATGGCTACCAAGAGGTGGAAATGGTCCAGACAGAATATAGGTCAAGGGCAATACTGGTCAAGAGCAAAGGTCATGGAAACAGTGTTTTGGGATGTTCAAGGTATTTTGTTGTTGACTTTCTAGACAGCCACGGAATGATAATATCTGCTTATCATGATGGAGTTTTAAGAATGTCAGCCAAAGCTTTAGCAGAAAAATTACCAGGCAAACTTCACCAGAGAATTCTTCTTTGTATGACAATACTCTTGTTCATTCCTCTCATCGTAAAAAGGCAATTGTGCAAGAGTTTCAATGGGAAATCATTAGGCATTTACCTTACAGTTCTGATTTGGCTCATTTTGCCTTGTTTTTATTTCCTAATCTTAAAAAATCTGTAAAAGACACCCATTTTTCTTCAGTTAATAATATCAAAAAGACTGCGTTGACATGGTTACATTCCCAGGATGCTCACTTCTTTAGGGATGGATTAAATGGCTGGTCTTATGGCTTATGAAAGTGTCTTAAACTTTTTGGAGCTTATGCTGAGAAAGAGTTTATATTTTCTATTTCAATCTTTATATTTTTTAACAAACTTTTTGACATTCCATTATATTTCCTGCCTGATTGTTTAAACTGAAACTCATTTGTATCATAGTTTTATTTTTACTACTAATTTTAATTTTAAACCTTTTATTCCTCCTTTCTGGGTTTTCTACTTAAAATTTTAGTTGTCTGCAAGCAGGTGGCAAGATATTAGAGTGGGGTGGGAACAGTGAAACCCCTAAATTTCATGAATTATCATAACTGGAAGCCCTAAAAAAAGCCTAAGATGTCTAAGTTCAGAGCAATGCGGAAATAAGGAGCTTAAGGACCGATATCTCTCTCCCACACCTTGTTCTCTTTAAGAGACTATACTCATGCTGGAGCCACTGGTCCCTACTGTGGGGACTATTATTGACTATTGGCTACTAAGGATGCTATTACCTGTGTCTCTTCCAGACTATTTTGCTCCACTATGTGGGACCTGACCTAACTTACCACCAGTAAGCCTACCAGTAAGTCCTATCCTCTAGGCTGCTTTTGTCTCTTTTCTGTCCAATTATTAATAGGACCTCTTCTTTCTCCTGGTCTAACTTGATCCCTGCCATCCTTACTTCCCATTTTCTCAATACCGCTAGTTTTTTTCTGGCAGTTTTAGTTCAAATCATGAGACACGGGTGATCATCTGTGTGCAAGTAATTATGGCAAATATTAGGTGTTAGTTTGTTTTGAAATTTTCTGGTATCTGGGAATATACATAAGGACATCTACCTCTAATTTTTTAGTTTCCAATAAAAGCTATTGAAACATAGCTATACTTAATTACTATCTACTAATTTGGCACTTGCTGCACTTCTTTGTATTACAAGTATGGCACTTTATTGTGCTTCACAGATATTGCATTTTTTGTAAATTGAAGGTTTGTGGTATTGAGCAAGTTAATCGGTGCCATTTTTCCAATGGCACGTGCTTGCTTTGTGTGTCTGTGTCACACTCTGGTTCTCAATACTTCAACTTTTTCATCATTATATCTGTTATTCTGATCTGTAATTAGTAATCTTTTAGGTTACTATTATAATCGTATATAGTGGAAATAGCAAAACAACAAGAAATAGGAGTACAGCCTGAAGACGTGACTGAACTGTTGCAATCTCATTACAAAACTTGATAAAGAGTTCCTTCTTATGGAAGAGCAAAGTGGTTTCTTGAGATGGAATTTACTCCTGGTGAAGATGCTATGAACATTGTTGAAATCACAACAGAAGATTTAGAATACTCCACAAAATGAGTTGATAAAGCAGTGACAGGGTTTGAGAGGATGAACCCCAATTTTGAGAGTTCTACTGGTGATAAAATGCTATCAAACAGTACTGCACATTACAGAGCAATCTATGAAATGAAGAGTCAAAAGATGAGGTAAACTTCATCATTTGTTGTCTTATTTTAAGAAATTGTCATAGCCACTCAACCTTCTGCAACCACCACCCTGATCAGTGAGCAGGTAACAATATCTAAGCCAGACTCTCCACGGGAAAGATTACCATTTGCTGAAGGTTCAGATGATTGCATTTTTTACCAATAAAGTTTTTTAAAATTATCATATGTATATTGGTTTTTACACATAATGATACTGCATATTTAATAGACTAAAGTATAGTGTAAACATACGTTTTAATACACTGGGAAACCAAAAATTGTGTTACTCAATTTATTGTGATATTTACTTTATTAAGGTGTCTGGAACCAAATCCGCAATTATCTCCAAGGTATGTGTGTATATATATGCCTCTTCACTGTATCCATTATGGCAATTAGAAATAGATCTTTATATTTAGTAGGTGCTCAAATTACTATGTTAATGAATGAATAAGTGGGTGATAACAGTAAAAAATTATTAATATTTCCATTCCCCACATGAAAATAATATGAAGAAAGAATTAAAAAGAAAATAGACCAAATAAGCATTCTGAGTTTATTCCTTTTAAAAATTTTATTAATTATTATTATTAATAATTATAATTATTATTATTTATTTAAAATTTTTATTTTAGCATATTATGGGGGTACAAGTGTTAAGGTTATATATATTGCCCATACCCCCCTCCCCCCTCGAGTCAGAGCCTCAAGCGTAACCATCCCCCAAACATTGCACATCTCACTCATTGTGTTTGTATATACTCATCCCCTCCTCCCCCCTCCCACCTGCCCAACACCCGATAACAATTCCTATATGTCCACTGAGGTGTTGATCTGTTAATACCAATTTGCTGGTGAGTACATGTGGTTCTTGTTTTTCCATTCTAATTAAACCTAAAGCTACTAGACATGTTCATGACAATTATAATAGAAAAAGGGAAAAGAAAAAATAGGAACAATTTATATTCCCTCCATATAGTAGTACTTTGTTGGGAATAGATGGAAGACATCAGTTAAGAGCATTCATTTGAATTTGTTTATAAAAAATTGGCATGTGTTTTTCTTGGTATCTATAGAGAGACAGTAATGAAGTTGAAATAACCTATTTTTCTTTGTGTTTATAATATATTCATATTAACAAAAAAGATTAATCCTACTGGAGGGGTATCTTTAATCAGAAATATGCCCTGATGCAGTTAAATGACACCTAGAAAATCATTTTCCCTTCGTAAGCCTGAAATTCCTCATCTAAAAACTTAGAAGATTGAATGAGATGATCTCTAAATTTCTACAATCATGCACACACAACAATAGATACATCATAATTTAAGTAGATAGTAAACCTTTACTTTCTGGCTCCATGATGCTAGGCTTGGCCATATGACTTGCTTAAAGTAAAAATGATGCATGTATCATCTGAGAGAGGGCTGAAATTTCTTTCATCTCTTTTCCCTCTTCCGTAAGAATGGCAAAGTGCCCAAAGAGGGCCACTACTTCAGCTTCAATCCTGGAATAAAGATGATGTGGAACAGTGCTACAGCCAAACAACAGATGGACGTTAACCCACCAGAAGATATACCTTTGTTTTTATTACTACAGCATAACCTAATAGAAGCTAATTAAATACAAGAATTTGCTAATAACTGAGTTTCAGTTCATAGTTAAATATTAAAACACAAAAAATCAAATGCAACAGAAAACCAATAATATAAAATACGGTAAAATGGAAATAAGCAAAAAGGCAACTTTAAAAAATAACAGTATTTATAGTAAAATAAATTAACTTAAAAATATACATAGAATTTGCCTTGTGATTTCTGGCTTGTATCACTGAATGACTATTCTAAGTAAGAATCAACATTTTTTAAAAATAGTTCCTCATCATTAAGATATTCCAAGATAATATTTCCACCATTATATAAAGGACAGTCCTCCTTAGTAATCCAGGTTTCCAAAGTATGATCCAAGGGTAAGGCTTCTCCTGAAGTAATGTGACATAACCTCAATTTCTGTGAAGGGAGAAATCAATCATATTGTAATAAACACACAGACTTGTATAGAACTTCTAGATCTTAAAAATTTTGGGGAAAAATTATTATAACTAAATGTTACCTTAGCTGTTAATTTGTTATTGTCATTTTTGAGACTGGCTAGAGAAGCTGCAAAGTCTATGACCTTCCCAATACTCCATCGGTGGCAAAAGAACATTGCTTTGCTCTTCACTTTGCTGCCCTTAGGCAAGAAAACCTGAAAGTAAATTCTTTCTGTCTGTAAAAACAAACACAAAAAAATTAAAATACAGATTATATATATGTAAAATAGACATCTCTGGTGTCATCTCTTCCTCTCTTCTTCTGGTCAGAGAAGATTTACCCTCTAACAATGCAACTCTTAGTTGGGAACTGACCAGAGTAACCCAGCATCCACCTAAATGCATGGGGATATGACCACGACCCTGGCCAGGGTCATCTGTGCAAAGACAGGCATGTGTCCTACGTTAGGCCAATCAGGGTCTGTTCCTGGGATTTTATATTCAAAAGCTGAGTGGAGAGAGACAGCTCTCTTTTTTCTGAGTTTTTAAAGTCTTATTGAATTAAATCTGGAGTGGCCTAAACCCCTCACCCCACAGCCATTTCCAAGCCAGTTTGGAAAAAGTCCCCTTAAATAAGAAAAAAATGAGGCCAATACAGAAAGAGAAAAGACAAGAAAATAGAGGGATTCTTTTAACATAATTTGAGTGCCTGAATTTGGCTGTCCCCAAGACCAGATTAATCTGTCATTCCCCATTATATGAGGAGGAAAAGTTGTTTTGATTGTGCTTGTTGGAATTGAGTTTCTGACACTTGGAATTGAAAGATTCCCAATATATATAACATTTCTTTTTGTGTGAAAGATCTCATTACATATTCCGAGCCAGTAAAACTTTGGAGAAAAACGAAACTTAGAAATCAAAACAAAAAACCCAAAATCATATATAAGTACCTTATAAACAAAAGAGAGGAACTTTGAGATGGTTTGTCTAGTATTCTATACATTATCTTTCTCCTTGTAGTGTATTTTCTTGCCTAATTAGCAAATGCAGGAAAGTAAGTATCGGAGCAGAGGTGCTTGGCCTTTAATCTTCCCTGATTCCTAAAAAATACTTTAAAACAGTGCTAGCTTTACAGATCAATTCCTCCTACATCAAAAATTTTGGCATAACTGGAGCGTATCTAAGTTATGTGGGAAAGATCATATTATTTTTAAAATAATAGATTCTACACAATTCCCATCTCACCCTAAGGAACTGTTGCAGACCCAGAAATGTCATTATTTCAGATACAAGCATTAAAGGGCAAAAACAAGAAATCATTGGAAATTTAAGCTTTGAGCTAACTCTATAACCAAACAATCCCTGCTCTAAAAACAAAGAAGAACGTAAATATGGAAAGAGAAAATTTAAAAAATAGAGCCTTATGTAAAAAAAAAAGAACAGAAAAAGAAATAGAAATGCACAATGATAGGCAGGCTGAGACACTGGTGCTCAGGGCTTGGGAAGAGGAAGAGGTATTTATGAGCGCAGCTTGTGGGCAAATGGGAAATATCCCCCCACAGGGGGATAAAGATAAAGTCTTTGTTTCAGCTCACTGCCTGGAAGCAGAAGCTAGTGGTGGGACCTGTGCTCTAGAAAAGGAGGCTAAAGAAGTTGACTTAGGATAGTTATATAAATTGATAGTTAGGGAGGCAGAAAAGCACAGCTATAACCCCCTGATAGTGAACCAAGACAAGGTCTTCTAGCTCAGTAAATGCATCTGTAATAACCTGAAAATCTTTGTAGGACAGAAACACATTCTGCCAATCTCAAATTTGGATTTTGAATAGCAGTCTGGTTGGAAGGGGGGGGAGGAGGAAAAAAAATGCAAAATTGCTAGCCAGGAATTGGCAAGCAAGCGGAGACAGAGATATGGAAAGAACCTCCTACTAAGATGAACATGTACAGTCGGTGAACAAATTCAAAACAAACTGCAGATTAACTCATTATGGGCAAATGCAGACAACTGAACTATATGTTTAAATAGTTATTTTGGGTGCACAATGAGATAAAAAGAAGTAAGCAGTCATGAAACCAAAAACAGGCAGAAATGAAAGAAAAAATATGAAGATACAATTGAATATAAAATTAGCCAGTGCATTGGCTCATGCCTGTAATCCTAGCACTCTAGGAGGCCGAGGTGGTTGATGCTCAGGTCAGGAGTTCGAGACCAGCCTGAGCAAGAGTGAGATTATCTGCTCTCATCTCTACTATAATAGAAAGATATATTACTTGTGCATATATTATATACTGAAATGTGCAGCTCTGAGCGACTGGCCCTGTAGTCCAGGCTACTGTTGAGCTGGCAGGGATCTCTGTATCTCTGTGAGTTGAGGTTGCTGTGAGCTTAGGCTGATGCCAGGGCACTTCTAGCTGGACACAGAGTTGTATACTCTGTCTCAAAATAAATAAATAAATATATAAAGATGAATTAAATTAAATATACTACATTTCTGGAATGAGTATATCAACAGTGTTGATTCTACAGTTCAATATTAGTCTTAATTAATTAGAGATGGACTTGGATAGTCATTGAGAATGCAGGGAGAAGAATACAAAGAAAAAATTATTTGATTATCCCTCTCTTAATGTATGTGTTATAGATTTTTGATAGGATGAGCAATTTGGATAATTATGACCATATTTCCAAAATTAAATTGTCCTCAATGTCAAGCTGGATAATTAAAATAAATCCACACGCTAGAAACCTCTGCATTGAAATTGGAGAATATCACAATAAAAATTTTAAGCTCCAAAAAAAAAAAGAAGATTAACCATGAAAAGCAACAAAATAAAATCGACTAAGTATGTTCACGTTTAACATATGACAGAGTATATTAAAAGAGTTGAGAAAGTCTATACTGATGTAGTAAAGGTAGGCTTGTTATAGCATTAAAAGACTGATAGAAGTTAATGGCACTAGACCCCTTTTGAATACTACTAAAGTATGTCCTTATCAAAATATAAGTGATCTATACGCCTATCTAGACTCTGGGGAGGCCGGAGGCGGCGGATTGCTCAGAGGTCAGGAGTTTCAGAAACCCAGCCTGAGCACAGAGACAGACCCGTCTCTATCTATGAAATATAAAGAAAATTAATTGGCCAACTAAGAGAATTTGTAAGATTATATCTTTCTGTGCTTGCCTTATTTCACTTAACATAGGATGTTCTCCAATTATCATCCGATGTTGCTCGCAAATGACAAGTATCTTCGTTCCCTAGTTATTATGAAATAGAGAAATCTAATCTCGATCTCTT